GTAGCTGGGACCACAGGCGCCCGCCACAACGCCCGGCTATTTTTTGGTTGCAGCCGTCACTGTTGTTTTGGCGGGTCCGGGCTGGGGATTCGAACCGGCCACCTTAGGTGTACGTGGCTGGCGCCCTAGCCGGTTGAGCCATAGGCGCCGAGCCACAAATTCATATCTTAAAAGAGTTATACTTACCAGTTATGACCAAGAGTAGAGTCATAAAAGTTTCTGCACAGTCTGGAACTTTCATTTCATCCACATCAGTGATATCCTTATATTGGGAAACCCAGGCAGCTTCTGATGAAAGCATTGAGTCCATTTTTTGAAGAGCAACTGATATGCAGAAAAAATGATTATGTTAATTAAATAGTTACAGTCACTCTTAATTCTTCTTACGATTTTTTTTTTTCTTGAGACAGAGCCTCAAGCTGTGCCTCTGGGTAGAGTGCCGTGGCATCACAGCTCACAGCAACCTCCAACTCCTGGGCTCAAGCGAGTCTCCTGCCTCTGCCTCTCAAGGAGCTGGGACCATAGGCGCCCGCCACAATGCCCGGATATTTTTTGGTTGCAGCCGTCATTGTTCGGTGGGCCCGGGCTGGATTCGAACAGGTGTATATGGCTGGTGCCTTAGCCACTTGAGCCACAGGCGCCAAGCCACCATTTTTTTAGAAAATGACTTTTCTACAAAAAATAAACCCATGATCTCCCACTAGTTGTACTATATCCCATATAGTTTATTTTAGGATTGAACAAGATCTTTTTTTTTTTTTGCAGTTTTCAGCCAGGGCCAGGTTTGAACCTACCACCTCTAGTACATGGGGCCAATGCCCTACTCCTTTGAGCCACAGTCGCCACCAGGATTGAACAAGATCTTTCCCCCACTCCCTCCTGGCCAAATCTTCAAAATAATTATGCTGACTAGACAAGTTACATCCAAAATGGTTCCACCAAGAACAGAAATACTATATGGTAGGCCAGGCATAGTAGCTCACACCTGTAATCTAGCACTCTAAGAGGCTGAAGGAGGTGGACTGCCTAAGCCCAAGAGTTCGAGACCAGCCTAAACAAGAGTGAGATCTAATCTCTAAAAACAGTCCCAGCTACTCCGGAGGCCAAGGCAAGAGAATCCCTTGAGCCCAAGAATTTGAGGTTGCTATGAACTGTGACACCACAGCATTCTACCACGGTGTCAAAGTGACTCTGTCTCACAAAGAAAAAAAAAAGAAAAAGAAAAAGGAAAAAAAAGAAATACTATATGGTAAAATCTATGAAACAATTATACACTCTACAGATTTTAATATTCTATTCTAGAAACATCTAGGGTATAATTCCAGGAAAAATGGAAATTTTATGTGAAGAAGAAAAGATTATCTCTGCAGGCAACTTGGTAAACTCTGACAAAATTTACAGGGCTCGGCTCGGCGCCTGTGGCTCAAGCGGCTAAGGCGCCAGCCACATACACCTAAGGTGGCGGGTTCAAATCCCCAGCCCGGGCCCGCCAAACAACAATGATGGCCGCAACCAAAAAAAAAAAAGGCCAGGCGTTGTGGCGGGTGCCTGTAGTCCCAGCTACTTGGGAGGCTGAGGCAGGAGACTCGCTTGAGCCCAGGAGTTGGAGGTTGCTGTGAGTGTGATGCCATGGCACTCTACCCAGGGGGATAGCTTGAGGCTCCATCTCAAAAAAAAAAAAATTTACAGGGCTCTAGTTCCTACCCAGAACTGGAGGAGAAAAACAACAAAAAACTGTATAGGAAACCCCAGATGTTTTCCTCTACCTTATGACCACATTAACACTTACATTTTCTCTCCACAGTCAACCATCTCTGAAAACAGGTTTCCTCTGATAGAATATGCATACAACCAGCAAAAGTGCCAGGATAGCCATGAACGGTATGAAGCTCCCTTTCAAATAAGAGCACTTCATCTACCAAATGACAGAAGAGACTGTCATCATACAGCAGACAAGGAATATCAGCAGCTAATTTCTCAAGCACCAACATCATAAGGCCTCGAGAAAATTCAAGCTAAAAGAAATACATAAACATGAGGTAAATAAATAATGAGTTATTCACATATACATAACAACTCTAAAACAGAAACACTCAGGACTGAGTCCCTTACCCTTGCATTTACTGAAGACCCTACTTTCTCTAATATAGGCTGAATCTTCTCATCCAGAAATTGTGTATGATTTCCAATCCACATAAGTACTTGAGCCAAGTACCACTCAGGCTAAGAAAAGAGGTAAAATTGTTTAAATCCTTAAGTCATTACAACTAGAAAGTTAACAATTAAATACCTCTACTTAATTGTACACATACAACACTTACGTAAATTAAATGAAAATTCCTATATGTACGAGCACAATTTTCTCTCGATTTTAAACTCCTGCAAAGCTTTAAAAAATAATAAAATAAACTCCTGCAAGTCTTTTTTTTTTTTTGGAGACAGAGCCTCAAGCTGTCCCCCTGGGTAGAGTGCTGTGGCATCGCAGCTCACAGCGACCTCCAACTCCTGGGCTCAAGCGAGTCTACTGCCTCATCCTCCCAAGTAGCTGGGACCACAGATGCCCACCACAGCACCTGGCTATTTTTTGGTTGTAGCCGTCATTGTTGTTTGGCGGGCCCAGGCTGGATTCGAACCCGCCACCTTAGGTGTATGGACTGGCGCCTTAGCCGCTTGAGCCACAGGCGCCAAACCACTCCTGCAAGTCTTAATAATCATCAAATGTTTCCCCATGTATATCCCCCAAATTCCAATCATGTGGCTTAGGTCAATAAACTCATTAAGTATACAATTCAATATTGTTTAAAACCTCACAATTTAGTAATATGTAAAATTATGGCCTTTAAGTTGTTTTTTTTTTTTTTGAAACAGCATTCCAAAATAATTTTTTTTTTTTTTTAAGAGACAGAGTCCCACTGTGTCACCCTTGATAGAGTGCCCTGGCGTCACAGCTCACAGCACCCCCCAGCTCTTGTGCTTAGGCGATTCGCCTGCCTCAGCCTCCCAAGTAGCTGGAATGCCATGACACCTGGCTATTTTTTTTGTTGCAGTTTGGCCAGAGCCGGGTTTGAACCCGCCACCCTCGGTACAGGAGGCTGGTGCTCTACTCACTGAGCCATAGGCGCCACCCCCTATTCTGCTTTTTCTTATCAAAATGTAAATTAGAATAAAATATGACTAGTCTATATTACAGAAAATAGGCATGCCTTAAACATGTGTAATTATAGAAAAGAAAATATAAGTATGCATTGTCCCAAGATATGATTCTATAAGCATTCCAAGTTTTGTTGGAATTCAAAAATATTTACTGTTTTTTTTCTCAGCGGCCGCCAAGGCCTTGGTCCTTCCGAGGAAGCGCTGGGGTGAGCCCCTCTCCCCCAAACAACCATTTACTGATGCTGGGAATACAAAAATGAGTAAGGACAGCCTCTAATTTCAAGAGCTTCACTGTTTAAGTGAAGCAGCCAACATAATTAACAATTTCCTTCTGTCAAATTATTACTGCCTGTCTATAATTTAAGATTTATTGCTTATTCTCCCTTACTACTAAGTGGTGCTACTCTTCTTTCCACCAATACTCCATCCAAAAAAGGAGAAGATCCATAATGTACAAAACAGTGTACAACAGCTTCACTGTTCACCATTGGGCTTAATGACCCAACGGTAAGTCCACTGGGACCACAATTTTTTTGTTTTTTTGAAGATAAAATCTCACTCTGGGGCGGCACCTGTGGCTCAGTGGGTAGGGTGCTGGCCCCATATGCTGAGGGTGGTGGGTTCAAACCTGGCCCCGGTCAAACTGCAACAACAAATAAAATAGCTGGGCATTGTGGTGGGCACCTGTAGTCCCAACTACTTGGGAGGCTGAAGCAAGAGAAGCACCTAAGCCCAGAAATTGGAGGTTTCTGTGAGCTGTGACCCCACGGCACTCTACCAAGGGCGATAAAGTGTGACTCTGTCTCTAAAAATAAAATTAAAATAAATAAATAAAATCTCACTCTGTTGCCCTGGGTAGAATGCTATGATATCATCATAGCTAACAGCAACCTCAAACTTTTGGGGTCAAGCAGTCCTCTTGCCTCAGCCTCCCAAATAACTGGGACTACAGGCACATGCCTTAACACCTGGCTAAGTTTTCTATTTTAAGTAGAGATGGGGCCTTCCTCTTGCTCAGGCTGATCTCAAACTCCTGAACTGAAGAAATTCTCCTGCCGTGGCGTCCCACAGTGCTAGGATTATAGGCCCAAGCCACCTCTGTGGTGGGACCACACTTTAAAAAGCAGCCAACATAATTAACAATTTCCTTCTGTCAAATTATTACTGCCTGTCACAACTTAAGATTTATTGCTTATTCTCACTTACTAATAAGTGGTGCTACTCTTCTTTCCACCAACACTCCATCCAAAAAAGGAGAAGATCCATAATGTACAAAAGAACCAGAAATCGATTTGCCCCCTGCTCCTTCCTATGCAAATGTAACTATTCTTTGATTCCTTTAAAATTCTACAAAGCCTGTAAATTCACTTATAGATGATACATACAATGCCTGGTGTGATATGACACTTAGTAACATTTCATTCAAAATACTAACTGAACCCCTGCCATGTACACTGAATTAGCTCTAGTAAAACTCATGGACAAACAAGGTGGTACCCAACCCCCAGCAATTTCCAAGATTATAATTCTCAACAAATTCTATCAAACTCCACTTAAAAAACAAAACCTAAAAAACAATAACAGCAATCTCAGCAATATGCCAAATATGCATTATCCCTCAATTGGTGTGATAATTTCCTCAAAACCATTCTTATCATTTATTTGCATAATCTCTCTTATTTTTATTTTTTTTTAGAGACAGAGTCTTGCTCTGCCACTCAGGCTAGTGTGCAGTGGTGCAATCATATCTCACCATGGCCTCTAACTCCTGGGCTCGAGCCATCCTCATGCCTTAGCTTCCCAAATAGTTAGGACTACAGATGTATACTACCACACAGATAATTTTTTTTTTTTTTTTTGAGACAGTCTTACTTTGTTGCCCTCAGTAGAGTGCCATAGCATCACAGCTCACAGCAACCTTCAACTCTTGGGCTTAAGTGATTCTCTTGCCTCAGCCTTCCAAGTAGCTGGGACTACAGGCCCCCACCACACACCCAGCTACATAAAGATAATTTTTTTATTTTTTGTAGAGACCAGTCTTATTATGTTGCCCAAGCTGGCCTCAATGATCTTCCCACCTCAGCCCCGCAAAGTTCTAAAATCTAAGGCTTGAGGCACCAAACCCAGCCCCATAATCTTTCCTGCACAGCAATAAATTGTTTTAGCACCAGTACATCTATTGAATAGTGCTTTGTGCTGGACATAACTACAAGAGAGACTCTACCTAATGTTTAAAAAATTGTGACTTGGTTGTTTGTACCCTCACAATAACCTGGAAATAAATAAATTAATTAATTTTAAAAAAGTTAGTGCTCTACTATCTTTGACTTTTACTTTTCTTCTAGATATATTTATAAATCTCAAGGAATAATCTGCACAGTGAAACACAGGTGGACGACATTGCACAAACTGCCACAGCAAATGCTGCCGCACACCTACAGGCAAACTTGAAAAACTGGTTAGATGATGAGCTGATGAATAAATTGATTCCTACAACATATCAACACAAGTCCCCAATTATATCTATAAAGGCCAGTGACAAAGCAGGAATTTAGCTCCTTAGAGAAAAACTAGAAATGTAAATAAAGTCAGATTTTAACTTAAAACAGCAAAAGTATAGAAATTTAAAATTTGCTATTAATAAAAACCAAGAACAGGCTTGGTGCCTGTAGCTTAGCAGCTAGGGTGTCAGCCACGTACACAGGAGCTGGCAGGTTCGAACGTAGCCCAGGCCTGCTAAACAATAATGAAAACTACAGCCAAAAAAAAATAGCCAGCATTGTGGCGGGTGCCTGTTGTCCCAGCTACTTGGGAGGCTGAGGTAAGAGAATCACTTAAGCCCAAGAGTTTGAGGTTGCTATGCGCTGTGATACTACGGCACTCTACCGAGTACGACATAGTGAGACTATCTAAAAAAAAAAACCCCCAAAAAAACAAAAACAAGAATTGGCAAAGCATACCTTGCTGATAACATTAGTCTGCCGGTTCCCTCTGAAATGATATCTGAACCTCTTCTGAAGAGGAGTCAGCATAACCTGAATGGGCAGGACAATAGAAGGGGATGCAGGCAGAGAGTATTTTTCTGGGAGTTGTTTTGGTTCTGTAATTAATTCATCTCTGACATAGTCAGGTCAAGGAAAAAAAGAATCAAAAACATACATGTGTGTATACATGTATATACACACACACACTCTTTACACAAATACATTATGTATGTATACACACAATAATTTTTCCAACAAATATAGCAGATACTAATTATAATGCAAATATATCTTCATATTAAATATTAATTTAGTAAAATAAGCCCACAAAAAATGTTGTTAGAATTAATCTTTAAGTCTTTTCTAAAATAAAGAATGGTAATAAGTCAATAAATCAATCATTTGATTAACACCACATTACTAAGGTTTTCTCCCAATTGCCTATTTGTTCTACTGCTGTCCCAAGAGACTTATATGTGTTAAGAACTTGAGTCAGTCATGCACCTCAGAACTTTTCCTCACAGCCCTCCCACCACACATAATTCACTCTGCAAGAGAACTATTCACCATTCAAGGGCAATTTACAGATTAAGTCTAAACCCAGGACTCCCATTTGTCTTCTTGGCCGCACCATCTACTCTAAAAAGAAGAAACTTTAGTAAGTTTTCAACTCTAACAAAGATACGAGGTTTGTAGTTTCAGAAGCTGACAAAATAGTGTCTCCAGGTTACTGTACAACTCAGGGCCACTGGCAGGTCGACTTAAGCCAACAGTTTGAGATTGAGGGGGTGCGATGAATGGCCAATGAAGCTGTGCTAAAATTTCCTCAAAATCACTGTAACAGAAAAAGAATACGCACATTTCAGTATGATCACCAAATGATCACCAAATACCCACCTGAAAGCAATTACCATAAAATATGGGCAAATTGGGCAGCGCCTGTGGCTCAAAGGAGTAGGGTGCTGGCCACGTATGCTGGAGGTGGCGGGTTCAAACCCAGCCCCGGGCAAAAACTGCAAAAAAAAAAAAAATGGGCAAATGTTTACCTTGTAAGCTTGTCCTTGAGAATTTTATGCCAGAATTTAACTGTGGCTCTCATGAAACTGAGAAGATGAGTACAAGATGATTCCTGAAGCTTGATGTCAAGTTCTGCCATAGACACTAGAGTAGAGGCTGCCTCCGGTACATTATTGGTCATCAGATACTGCTGAATATTATCACTGCAAAGCAAAGCAAAGCAAACTTTAAAGACACTTTATTCAGAATAATTTCAAATTCAGAAAACTGCTTCTTCTTATTTTAGAAGTTCACCTAAAGAAAAATAAAGCACTACTCCAAGGTGGCTTTTTTTTTAATACCCAGAACTCTCTGGAAGCCCAGAGTCCTCAAATACAGTATCCTTCTAAGAGCAACAGCCCATGTCAGGATGGCTTCCTCCACCTTTCCTTCTTCTCTCTTCCCAAAAGAACAGACTCTTCCTGTGTCACATTCCCTCAGGCAACAGTCATTTCTGATAAATCTGCCTTTTAGAGAGGTCTTCAGTAATCTTAATCCAAGGGGATAATGTAAAGTCAAGAGTGATAAGTCTTCAGCTTTTACCTACTTTGCCCTAAAGAATTGGATTTCCCACTTGAAAGCAATATAATTCCAAAATAATAAATGTTGCATTATGTTAAAACAGGACTACCATGTTTAAGAAATGTAAAAATGTTATAAAAGAATTTAAAATGTTCAAGTAACCACAGAAGTTACTGCTTTCTAGGGTGGAACGAAATAGATCACACAATACTAAAAGCACAAAGGACATTTAGATCACAGGAAAAGCCATTCAGAGTGATACTGCTGTACTGCAGGATTCAAAAAACAGAGCTAACATAAAGATGCTAATTTGAGCAAGAAGAAACTTTTTAAAAAAACAGAGAAAGGTCTGCCATGATGGCTCACACCTAGCCAATGGGAGGGTAATCCTAGCACTATGGGAGGGGGAGGTGGGAGGATCACTTGAGCTCAGGAGTTCAAGACCAACCTGAGCAAGAGCAAGCCTCCATCTCTTCTAAAAATAGAAAAATTAGTGCCTATAGTCCCAGCTACTGGGGACTGGATCTTCCTGATGCAGGAAGATCATTTGAACCCAGAAGTGTGAGGTTGCTGTGAGCTAGGCTGATGCTATGGCACTCTAGCCTTCAACAGATTGAGACACTTGGCTCGGCACCTGTGGCTCAAGCAGCTAAGGCGCCAGCTACATACACCTAAGGTGGCGGGTTCAAATCCCCAGCCCAGGCCCGCCAAACAACAATGATGGCTGCAACCAAAAAATGGCCAGGCGTTGTGGCCGGCGCCTGTAGTCCCAGCTACTTGGGAGGCTGAGGCAGGAGACTCACTTGAGCCCAGGAGTTGGAGGTTGCTGTGAGCTGTGATGCCATGGCACTCTACCCAGGGAGATAGCCTGAGGCTCCATCTCAAAAAAAAAAAAAAAAAAAGATTGAGACTCTTGTCTCAAAAAAAAAAAAAAAAGGAGAAAGTATTACAGAATAAAAACCAGGCCATTTGGGTGGCGCCTGTGGCTCAGTGGGTGGGGCACCAGCCCATATACCCAGGGTGGCGGGTTTAAACCTGGCCCCAGCCAAACTGCAACCATAAAAAAGCTGGGCGAAGGGGGCTGAGGCCAGCGCACCAGCGGGGTGGAGGAAAAAAAAAAAAAAAAAAAGCTGGGCGTTGTGGCGGGTGCCTGTAGTCCCAGCTACTCGGGAGGATGAGGCAAAAGAATCGCCTAAGCCCAGGAGGTGGAGGTTACTGTGAGGTGTGTGACACCATGGCACTCTACCAAGGGTGATAAAGTGAGACTCTGTCTCTACAAAAACAAAAAAAAACAGGATGTTAGAGGAAAATTAGACATGAGGAAATTCCAGAAGCTCAAAAGACAGACAGAAATAGAAAAGTTATCATGAAAGACATAGGGAAGAAATGCATTATTAAAGAGAGAGGAATAACTTGTGTTCTACTTGATTATGAATTTGCATACTATTTCTATTATGATTCCCTGGGCATATTTCTCTTTTAAACAAGTCAGAGATCAGAAAAGGTTATCAATAACCATAGCTCTATTTTACCTGATCTATTACTTTGGCTACTACCAACACTAAGGCTTTTAAACAACTTATGTTACTTAATTAGGCTAATAATTTTATCCTTTTTTGGTATTTTCTTTCAGAGGGACAAAGAGAAATGAAATAAGATAAAATAAAGCAAAGTTTAAATTTCTTCACTGTGTGCTTGCTTCATCATCACATATATTATTAAAATTCTGTCACTGCACATCATTTATCTAAATAAGAATGAGATGCTCGAAAAAAATGGAGTCAGTTCTGGAAATCAGCTGGGCACAGTGGCTCAAGGTTTATTTGAGGATAGGCGTCTGAGATCAGCCTAAGCAACACAGAGAGACACCATCTCTAAAAAAAATAAAATTTGCAAAAATTAACCTGGGTGTGGCAGCTCATACCTGTAAACCTAGCACTCTGGAAGGATGAGGTGGGAGTACTATTTGAGGTCAGGAGTTCGAGACCAGCCTAAGTAAGTAAGAGTGAGATCCCATCTCTACTAAAAAATAAAAAAATTAGCCAGGAGTTGTACCTGGCACCTTTGGTCCCAGCTACTCGGGAGGCTGAAGCAAGGGGATCAGCTGAGTCCCAGAGTTTGAGGTTGCTATGAGCTAGGACACCATGGTACTCTATCCAGGGCACAGACTGAGATTCTGTCACCAAAAAAAAAAAAAAACTTACAAAAATTAAAAAGTAGCTGGGCATTGTGACACATGGTTGCAGTCCCAGCTACTCGGGAGGCTTAGGTGGAATGACTGCTTAAGCCCAGAAGTCTGAAGTTGCACGGAGCTATGATAGCACCACTGCACTTCACCCTAAGTGATACAGCAAGACCCTGTCAATTAATACAACAATGGATAACTCCTCATATGCAAAACAAAGATTTCTATACCATACTGATATATAAAGTTCTTTAAAAATTTGAGAAATATATGTAGGATAGAGGGATATATAACATATCCTCCATAACATGCGTAACATGACAATAAATACATTAACTGTGATACATTTGGAACAAGATATTAAGACACTTATAATTTTACTCCCTCAGGTTTTCCAGATAACATTAATGGTTGCTGACAGTTTTGCAGGAACAACAGTTAAAACAATACAAAGATGAAACAGTAGTTTCAGGCTCGGCACCCGTAGCGCAGTGGTGCACTGGCCACATATACCAGGGTTGGCAAGTTGGAACCCAGCCCAGGCCTGCTAAACAAAAATGACAACAAGAAAAAAATAGCCAGGCGTTGTGGCAGGCCTATAGTCCCAGCTACTTGGGAGGCTGAAGTAAGAGAATCACTTAAGCCCAAGAGTTTGAGGTTGCTGTGAGCTGTGACAGCACAGTACTCTACTCAAGGCAACATAGTGAGACTCTGTCTAAAAAAAAAAAAGAAAAAAGAAATAGTACAAGGGGCTGACAACCATATCATAAAACCAAATAACCTTCTACTTTAGCTTGTTTGAAAGGTAATACCACAGATACTCATGATCAACCACCAGTGATATTTATTCAATTCAAAAAGAACTAAAGTCCTATTGTTTTCTTCCTACCCACAGATAGCAGAACTCTGTTATTCATCTAAGAATACATACTGTGTAGCTCTATTAGATGACTCCCAGTGAAAAATATTAAAATTATAAAGAAAGCAATCCACTTAAGTGACCATCTCTAAAAATTAAAATAAAGAGGAATACTTATCACCACATGGAGGATTTGTTTTATTAATTTGGCATTATAAATAATAGTTTTTATCTTGTGTTCATAATATAAGACTTTACTTACTTAGATTACTTTCTTTCAAATGCAAATTAAGCTTATGTTCATTCACAATAAAGGAAAAGAATCATTATCATAATGTTATTTTCTTAACGACTGGTAAAATTACATTATTATAATCTTTAATTAACTCAATTATTTAACAGCACACATGCACTCTCTAAGACAGAAACCTCAAAGGAAAATAATAATTATGAGAACAAAGGAGCCCATTTTACCTTAGTTCTTCAATTTCTGAAATCCATTTAAGGTAAGCGAGATGCCTTTCAATCTCTTCAATTTGGTCAATCATGGCCCCAAGCTCATCCATCCAGGGCTGTGCATTCAGCAAATGGCTGTTAATGGAGCTGAAGAGATGAGTTTCTTGCTCTAGAAACTGATTCAGGAATTGCTTTGATTCTTCTGCATTTTTTAAGGCACTTTGAATTCTTTTAGGAATTTCTGATGAAATCGTAAGCACCTGACCACACCAGAATGAAAGAACAGTCGCAATTAGATAAAATTTCATAAACATTTTATTAGTTCATTCCCTTATTTTTTTTTATTTTTTTCAGACAGAGTCTCCCTCTATTGCCCCAGGTAGAATGCCTTGGTGTCATCATAACTCACTGCATCCTCAAACTCCTGGGCTCAAGCAATCCTCCTGTCTTGGCCTCCTGAGTAGTAACTACAAGCCCACATCACCATACTCCTATGAGAATCTAATGCCACCACTGATCTGACAGGAAGTGGAGCTCAGGTGGTGATGTAAACAATCGGGAGTGGCTATACATACAGATGAGGCTTTGGTCACTGGCATCTGTTGCTCACCTCCTGGGTGTGCAGCCTGGTTCCCAATAGGCCACCAAGCAGTACTCGTCTGTGGCCATGGGATTGGGGACCGAATTTTTAAAGAAATGAACTAGGCTGGGCACCATGCATGGTAGCTAATGCCTGTAATTTTAACACTGTGGAAGACCAAGAAAGGACTGCTTCAGTTCAGGCATTCAAGACCTACCTAAGCAAAAGTGAGACCCCATCTCTATAAAAAAATAGAAAAATTAGGAGGGCACAGTCCCAGCTACTCAGAAGACTGAAGCAGGAGGATCACTTGAACCCAGGAGTTTGAGGTTAGAGTGAGCAATGATCAAGCCACAGCCCATGTCCTGGGAAAAATGTAAGCCCCTGTCTCTTTAAAAAAAAAAAAAAGAAAGAAAGAAAAGAGAAAAAGATGGGAAAGATATACATTTGTTCCAACAGAACTAAAAATTGCCCACTAAATGTTCAAAATAAAGATTTAATATCTTTTTTTTTTTTTTGAGACAGAGTCTCACTATGTCACCCTTGGTAGAGTCCTGTGGCGTCACAGATCACAACAACCTCCAACTCTTGGGCTTAAGCACTTCTCTTGCCTCAGCCTCCCAAGTAGCTGGGACTACAGGCGCCCACCACAATACCTATCTGTTTTTTGGTTATAGTTGTCATTGTTATTTGGCAGGCCCGGGCTGGATTCAAACCCGCCAGCTCCAGTGTATGTGCTTGGCACCCTAGCGGCTGAGCTACAGGTGCCAAGCCAAGAATTGATTTCTTCATTCTATACCAACCAAACCCAAACATAAAATGACATATGTGAAGCATAAATACATACGGGCGGCACCTGTGGCTCGAAGGAGTAAGGCGCCGGCCACATATACCAAAGGTGTTGAGTTCAAACCCAGCCTCAGCGGAAAAAAAAAATGCAAAAAATACATACATATGAAGTCTAACAATTAAGTTCACAAACTTGTCACCGTAACTTTAGTATACATATTAGTGTCTCACCGTTGTGTTTGTATCAATATGTGGTGGTGTCTGGCTGAGTGGTATTCATTATTGTTGCAAGTTTTTGTGTGCTACTACAAGAATGTGGGAGCTTAAATTAGAGCAATGAACAAACATTCATCAATTTTTTTTGTTTGTTTTTTTTAGACAGAGTCTCACTCTGGCTCCTTGACTAGAGTGCCATGGCATTATAGCTCACAGCAACCTTTAAGTTCTGAAACTCTAGCAATCCTCTTGCCTTAGTTTTCCTATTTTCAGTAGAGATGGTGTCTCGCTATTGCTCAGACTGGTCTCGAACTTCTGAGCTCATGCAATCCACTGCCTTAGCCTCCCAGTGGGCTAGGATTACAGGCATGAACCACTGCACCCAACCCCAACAATTCCTCTTTAAATTTGGCAGGAGTGAAAGTGCAATCAGGAACATGTTAGTCCAAGTTTATGTGGATTATGCCATGAAGAAAATAGTATTGGCTCGGCGCCTGTGGCTCAAGCGACTAAGGCACCAGCCACATACACCTAAGGTGGCGGGTTCGAATCCCCAGCCCAGGCCCACCAAACAACGATGGCTGCAACCAAAAAATGGCCAGGTGTTGTGGCGGGCGCCTGTGGTCCCAGCTACTTGGGAGGCTGAGGCAGGAGACTCACTTGAGCCCAGGAGTTGGAGGTTGCTGTGAGCGTGATGCCATGGCACTCTGCCCAGGGGGATAGCTTGAGGCTCCGTCTCAAAAAAAAAAAAGAAAAGAAAATGATATTGTACAAATGGATTAAACATTTTTCTGAGGAAAGAAAAAGGTGTCATTGATAAAAAGAGGTCAGGGCAGTCAGTAATGAGCAGAATTGACAAAAACATTGCAATAATTCTTCAAATTGTGTGTCAGAATCATAGGCTGACTGTGAGAAACATACCAGACCCAGTAAACATCAATAGAGAAATAGGGAAATCTTGGCCATCAACTCACCACTCTTGCATCATGACAATGCACCAGCTCATACAACACTGTCTGTGAGGGCATTTTTCGCCAGAAAAATATCAGTATTGGATCACCCTCCCTATTCACATGATGACTTTTTCCTTTATCTGAAGATAAAGGAAATATGGAAACAAAGACATTTTTGTGACATTCAGGACATCAAGGGTAATATAATGACCACTATTGTCCATCTGGATGAGGGTCATTCCAGAAAAAGAGTTCCGAAATTGTATTGAAGGGTGGACTAGATGCTGGTAATGGGGCATAGCTTCCCAAGGGGAGTATTTCAAAGGTGACCATAGTGATATTCAGCAATGAGGTATATAGCACTTCTTCTAGGATTATTTCAAAAACTTAATTATCAGACCTCATACATGGATAGAGAAGGGCCTTGATAGGCCCCCCGTAAGGATTTAGGGATCTGCCTTCACAGGCTCAGTATTTTTAAAAGATCCAGCCAAAGATCAGTTATGTGATTTATCTTAAATATTTTCCTTCAAAATCTGATTCTAAAAAGCTGAGCATATGTATTTCTGCAGATCTTCTCCAGGTGATTCTGAATTAAGGCCAGGCTGAAAGATATCGGTTTGGCAGCAATACCTTTAGATATGGCATTAATTAATTTTTCTTATGGTATATAGGAAAACATATACAAATATTAGGCATCATTACAGTATAAAGAATATACAGAGGAATTTTAATTTATTTTAAAATTTTTATTTATTTGCTTTTGTTAGTAACCTTTATTTTATCTTTTTTACCCTGTCACCCAGCCTCAAGTACAGTGGCACAGTCATAGCTAATGCAGCGTTAAACACCTGGGCTCAAGCAGTCCTCCTACTTTAGCCTCTAGTATAGTGGTTCTCAACCTTCCTAATGCTGCAGCCCTTTAATACAGTTCCTGTGGGTTGTGACCCACAGGTTGAGAACCACTACTCTAGTAGGTGTGAGCCACCACACCCAACAGAATTTCAATTTAGTCAACACAGATTAGATATGTATTCTGTATCAGGCACTGTGGTAGGGATATAAAGATAAATAAGACATAGCATCTGTCCTTTAGCTTAGTTTGATATGGAAGAGAGATGTAAAAATTACTTCAAGCCAGGAGTGGTGGCTCACACCTGTAATCTCAGCACTCTGGGTGGCCAAGGCGGACA